TATAGAATGTGAATAGTTGTCCCAATACTGACCCCTGCGGAACTCCGCTCGTCACTGGCTGCTATCTTGAAAAGACCCCTTTATCCCCACTCTCTGCCTTCTGCCAGTCAGCTAATCCTCTAACCACGCCAGTACCTTGCCCTTAACACTATGGGCTGCTAGCTTATTTAGTGGCCTGCTGTCTGGCACCTTGTTAGTAGCTTTCTGAAAATTCAAATAGATCATGTCCACTGGCTCTCCTTTCTCTAAATTGCTCATTACCTCCTCAAAGAATTCTGACACATTTGTCAGGCATGATCTCCCCTTGATGAAGCCTTATTACTCAGTAAAAACCGAAATAACTGCAGATGCTGTAAATAGGAACAAAAACAAAGTTGCTGGAAAAGCTCAGCAGGTCTGGCAGCATCTGTAAAGGAAAAAGGTTCTGAGGAAGGATCACCGGACCTGAAACGTTAACTGTTTTTTCCTTCACAGATGCTACCAGACCTTATTACTCAGTCCTGTTTTACCATGCACTTCCAGATACTCCGCAATCTCATTTTTAATAATGGACGCTAAAATCTTACCAATAACTGAGGGCAGGATAACTGGCCTATAGTTTCCTGTCTTCTGCCTGTTTCCCTTTTTGAACAGGGGTGTTATTTTGGCCATTTTCCAGTGCTCTGAATCAGAAGGTGATGGTAGAGGGATGTTTCCATAACTGGAAGTCTGTTTCTAAATGGGTAAGGGGATTAGTGAGATAGAAAAAATTGCAGAGGCTGGAGTCAGTATCAATACAGTGTGGAGCTGGAGGAAAACAGCAGGTCAGGCAGCATCAGAGGAGGAGGAGGAGCGTCGACGTTTCAGGCCTAGACCCTTCATCGAATCCTGATGAAGGGCGTAGGCCCGAAACGTTGACTCTCCTGCTCTGATGCTGCCTGACCTGCTGTGTTCCTTCAGCTCCACACTGTATTGACACTGATTGGGTAAGGGGATCAGTTTGCTCACTTGGTTGATGGCTGGTTTGTGATGCTGTGGGTTCAGTTCCTGTACTGGCTGAGGCTACCATGTAAGTCCTGCTTTCTGAACCTTGCCCTTTCCCTGAGTTGTGGTGACTGTCAGATTAAACCCACTATCAGTTATCTCTCTCTGAGAGGAGCCCTGTAGTCCCCTGAGACTATGATGACTTTACCTTTACCAATGCAGTGAAGTTCTGCTAGGCTCGATGCTAGGGCCATTCTGTTTATGGTGTGAAATCATGATTTGGATTTAAATGTAGTAATTACAATGAAGAAGTTCACAGTTGATACAAAAATTTACAGAGTGGTAACAAGTGAGGAGGATAGTTGTAAACTGCAGGTTTAGACTGCATTAACTGATTGGTCAGATGGGCAGAGCAGTGCAAATAGAATTCAACCTGGAAAAATGTGAGGTCATGCACTTGAGTGCTAACAAGGCAAGTGATTACACTATGAATGTTAAGACACTGGAAAGTACTGAAGATCAGAGCAACCTTGGTATTAACATCCACCAATATCTGAAAGTAGCAGGTGGATAAGATGGTTTAAAAAGGCATAAAGGATACTTTGATAACAAGGTGTAGAGCTGGATGAACACAGCAGGCCAAGCAGCATCAGAGGAGCAGGAAAGCTGACGTTTCGGGTCTGGACCCTTCTTCAAAAATGGGGGAGCGGAAGGGGATTCTGAAATAAATAGGGAGAGAGGGGGAGGCAGATGGAAGATGGATAAAGGAGAAGATAAGTGGAGTGGAGACAGACCAGTCAAAGAGGCAGGGATGGAGCCAGTAAAGGTGAGTGTAGGTGGGGATAGGTCAGTCCAGGGAGGATGGACAGGTCAAGGAGGTGGGGGTGGGGCTTGCGGTGGGAGGAGTGGATAGATGGGAGAAAGGACGGACAGGTTAGGGAGGCGGGGACGAGCTAGGCTGGTTTTGGGATGCGGTCAGGGGAGGGGAGATTTTGAAGCATTGATACCATTGGGCTGCAGGGTTCCCAAGTGAAATATGAGGTGCTGTTCCTGCAACCTTCGGGTGGCATCGTTGTGGCTCTGGAGGAGGCCCAGGATGGACATGTTGTCCAAGGAGTGGGAAGGGGAGATGAAATGGTTCACGACTGGGAGGTGCAGTCGTCTGTTATGACCCGAGTGTAGGTGTTCCACAAAGCAGTCCCCAAACCTCTGCTTGGTTTCCCCGATGTGGCCTTATCTACATCGGGAACAGTGGATACAGTATACCACGTTAGCAGATGTGGAAGGTCTTCTTGGTTTTACAGAAATGGGGGATGGGAAGGGGTTTCTGAAATAAATAGGGAGAGAGGGGGAGGTGGATGGAAGATGGATAAAGGAGACTTTTTCAGAAATGGGGGAGGGGAAGGTTCATCCAGCTCTATACCTTGTTATCTTATGCTGCTTGGCCTGCTGTGTTCATCCAGCTCTACACCTTGTTATCTCAGATTCTCCAGCATCGGCAGTTCCCACTATCTATAATGGATACTTCCTTTTATCAGCTAAGGTGCAGAATACAAGTGCAGGGAGGTTTTGCTGAAATTGTGTGAAATGCTGGTGAGACCACAACTTCAGTATTGCAAGTAGTTCTGGTCACCATACCATAGGAATGGTGTGATTGCATTAGTGAGGTTGCAGTGAAGAATGACCATAATGCTGCCTGGGCTGGTGGGTCTCTGCTATGAGAAAAGATTGGTTAAGCTGGGTTTGTTTTCCCTGGTGTAGCAAAAGTTGAGCGAAGGCCTGACAGACGTGCACAAGATTGAGGAGCATAGATAGGGTAAATTGGAAGGCACCTTTTCCATTAGTAGAGGCCATAAATTTAAGAGATAGAAGGCTAAGTGAATTTTCATTGAGGATGGTGGGAGTCTGGAACTCTCTGCCAACAATGGTGGTTAAGTCAGAAACACTCATTACTTATATGCAGTGTTTTGATATACACTTGTGTTGCCATAGCTTCCAGGACTCTAGGCCAAAAGCTGGAAAAAGGGATGAGTTTGGTCAGATCATTGTTACCCAGTGGGGACATGATGGGCCTCCTATGTGCTGTAAACATCTCATCAAATGTCGTCTGGAAATCAAAGTACAGCAAATCCATCAGTTCCCTTTTGTCCAAAGTGCATGTTATTTCCTCAATGAACTCCAAAAATTTGGTTAAACATTTGACTTCTACAAAGCCACCTACAAAGTCTTCTACAAAGACTCCAACTGATTACCTCGAACTTGCCTAGGTGCCTTTCTGTAAAGTTGTTAGTAGCTTCTAAAATTTTTCCTATTACCAACATTAAACTGGTTTGTAGTTTTCTGCTTTGATTTCCTCCCTTTATGAATCAAGAATTTTCACTTGCTATTTTCCAGTCTAATTGGACCTATCCTGAATCTAGGAAATTTGGGAAAATTAAAGCCAGCACATTAACCAACTCATCAGACAATGTCTTTTTGAAGTTTCTAGGATAAAGTCCATCCAGATGTAAGACTTCTCATTGGTAGTTCCAACAATTTGCTCAGTGCAGCTTCCCTGGTGACAAACTTTCTTGCGTCACTCCTTCCCTTCCATTTCCTGGTTAACAACTGTTTTTGGGATGTTACTTTATCTCTAGTGACAATTGATGCAAAATATCTACTCAGTTTATCTGCCACCTTTTATTAACTCCCCAGATACTCATTTAATAGGAAGCAATTCTGTCTTTTTATACAATGTTCATAGAAACGCATTTTCATTTTTAAAAATTTATTTCTGAGATGTGGGTGTCGCTGGCCAGGCCAGCATTTATTGCCGATCGCTAATTGCCAAGTGGGTAGTTAAGAGTCAGCCACATGCTGTAGGTTCAGAATTGCAGTGAGGCCAGACCAAGTAAAGATACTGGATTCCTGTCCGTAAAGGGCATTAATGAACCAGATGTGTTCTTATGACAATCGACAGTGGCCATGGTTGCCATTAAGACTCGCTTTTTATTCCAGAAATTTTTTATTGAAATGAATTTTCACCATCTGCTACGGTGGGATTCAAACCTAGAATGTTCCCCAGAATGCTAGCCTGAGGTTGTGGATTACTAGTCTAATGATATCACTACTGCCCCACTGCCTCCCCGAGGCTAACTTTCTTCTGAATTCTTAATTTTTCTCTCCTCATTAATCTTTTAATCATTCTTTACAGTTGTTTAATAGTCTGTCCAGTGTTCTCATCTGTCACCCATTTTTGCTCAATTGCTACATTAAAAATTTCTTATGATCTTTAACTGTTTTTTTTAATTAATCAAGGACCAAGCCTGAGATCAGGAAATGAGTGGCTTTGATGGATTTCAGACTGTTAGTGAGCAGCTTATTGCTAACTAAGTGCTGCTTGATAACACTTGATAGCATTGGCTAGCTCTGTTTTCTCAATGCCCATTGCTGGTTTTGAACATACTATTCTCTCCAAAAACATGAATGTAAATTTAAACATACCTTGATCAGGACAGTGAAGGGACCATGGGTGGGAAGCACGCATTGTACTTAAGGTTTCTGTGCAAATCTGCGTGCACGCTGCCTCTTTGTTTCTGATGATCTTATGGCCTCTCTCAGCTGCCCCCTCAATCCCTTTCTTTTCAGTCTCTGCCCCTTTCTCTGTGTGTCCCCTGCTCTCCTTGCACACACGTTCTGCTGCCTTTCTGAACTCCATTTTTTAAAATTTCCTGTTCTTGTCATATCCTTTTTGCTGTCACTCGCAGTCTCCTGTTGCTTTCTCCACTTTGTTCTCCCTTTGAGAATACCACTATCTATGTACTGTTCAAATTTTACTTTTTTCTCTGTATCTTTAGCTTGTTACCCAAATTTTGCAACAGCTACTCCTCTTGGCCCAGCCCTCAAATTTGCAGATGGGTGAATATCTGTCATTTTGCAACATCTAGTTTCTAGGCTTTCAGATCAATGTTTTACCATTTGGTAATGTTTGGTATAAAGAAACTAATTTTACATTTTCTCTTGCTCAATTATTCCATGTTCTTTCTTCCTCCTCACAGTTCTGTCAGCCGAGTGGATGGCATTTGGTTCTCGAAAGGAAATCTCCAAACTTCTTTGTGGCAGTCTTAACTGATATCAACTCAGAGAGGCATTATTGTGCATGCTTCACCTTTTGGGAAGCAGTTGAGAGTTCTCAGGTAAAGATACCAAAAAAAGTGCAGAATCCTTGCATGTCTGTTTCTTGTGTCCCCTGTTCTCACACTATGACTGTTGTAGTTTCTTCTGCAAATGCTAAATGCTGCTGAGGTTTGACTGAGGAACAAAAACAAAGTTGCTGGAAAAGCTCAGCAGGTCTGGCAGCATCTGTGGAGGAGAAAACAG